TTAGACGCGCACTAGAGGTGGTTTAGCCAATCACAACACACTGGGCTAGCTAACCAATCAGAGCCCATCGCCTATTTCTGAGGGCGGGGCTTCATAAAAGCAGGAAATGATCAGCGCGTTTCTCAGAGAAGGGACAGAGCGGTGTGGAATAAAGGTAAATTATGTGAAAAATTATGTTTTTTTTTTTTTTTTAAACAGTGAACCACCCCTTTAAAGTAGGATATGAGTACATTCAGTTCTTACCACTGAAGTGTACAGTTTGTGCTGAGGGACATTCTTCTTTTGATCCATAAAAAACAAAAACTTCTCGATTAACATCATGTTCTCTTCAGTTAGGCCTGTCAAATCCCTCCGACATCATATTTACTCTCATAACTATATTTATTTTTATGAAGGATACGCAGTATGCAATGCTACATTCACTTTGAACGAAAGCCATTCACTTTCAATTAAAGTTAGTGGTTTCCGGTCACGTGCAAAAGGATGTGGCTGTGTCCAGAGAATGAACAAAGTTAAATAAATTGTAACTTTTTGCAAATGAGCAGCAACATTATGGGAGTGACTATAAGGTGACCATAGATCCTATTTTTCTAAATTGCCTAAAATGTCTGGGTTTTGGCTCTGTTTTCCTAGTGATATGTCCTCATGCGTTATGTGTAGATGTATTTGCATTACTTTGACGTTCTCTGTAGATCCCACCTTCTCGCATGCCACGATTGGTCACTTATGTGCAATGCATGCATACTATTGGTCATACTACTTTTCAGTCATTACCTTCAGTCACTACCTTATGAAAACAATAGGAAAACAAAGCCAAAACCAATTTAGGCAATTTAGAAATCCAGGCCAGGATATGTCCGGGAAAAAGAGGACATATGGTCGCCCTAGGCAACTACCAATGTGAATGAAGTCAGTGATCCGTCTTATGTGAAGTACAATAGTCGAGTGAAGACATGCCAGAGAAGTTAATGTTACTATGAGTGATTTCTCTGTTCTATAAGATATTTTTCTGACCGCATGCAGGATATAATAAAACAAATTCAAACCATGTCAGAAATTGCTGCCATTTTTGATTGATACTTTTCTAATTGTTCATCATGTTCACTATACAATTACAGTGATATATTATATGGAATCAATTCCTTCTTTTTGTCTTTTTTTTATTAGATTTTCAAAAGCTATGGCCAATTATGCAACCCACCAAAAATGTTACACAACCAAAAACTATGTATAACTTCTACATTCAAATTTGGAAAAGCTCGTCTAGGTAGGCAGCCGACTAGATTTTGGAACAGAACTACTGAAATACTACAACACTTAATCAAACTCATAAAAACACACACACATACTAACCATTCTAACTTTTTTTGATCACAGCATTGATATTTTCCATATTTCTCAGTGAGTGTTGTGTGGTGTTACGGAGCAGAGTAAGTCTTATGCTGTTTGTCTATTACTCTCCAGATGCCTTCGTATTTCTTCTCAAAGGCAAGACGTCTCACTTGGCTAATTAGACCACTCTCACTTTTCACTTGAATGGTTGATATTCCGTGTCTCACCTCTTTTCCTCCTTGTTAACTCTGCCTCATCCTTCTTCACACCTACTCGCTCTTTTTCTGATCTGTCTCGTCTCGCTTCCTCTTTCCCTCACTGACTTCTGAGACACATTTTGCCAAAGTGTAACTTGAATTTTTGGCTGCTTATCACACTATCACTGCATGCTGAAATGTACTCTCAAAGGGTGTGTCTCAGTCTATTCCCTACTTCCCTTTGATGGGAATTAGTTCAAAATAGGTTAAAAGGCATTCTGCTCATTTCTAGGGAGTGAACTGTTCAATGCATTGGAATGATTTTGATAATGAGGCAATCCACTCCCTTGGTAGTGTACTTACTGCTGAACTAGGGAGCAGACCGACACATAGCCATGTGAGTACTGCTATTGATGGAAAGCAGCCAGGCTGAAGAGCAGCTGACTGTTAATCTCAGCTGGTTCTTCAGCTCTCCTCTAATGTTTTCTTTGACAGTGAGACGTTTACTAAGTGTCTGCTGAACTGTGTGCAGAATAAATGTGATCAGTACTGGCCCAGCAGAGGCACAGAGACATACGGATTGATGCAAGCCACTTTACTGGACACGGTGGAGCTCGCAACCTACTGTGTCAGGACTTTTGCTCTTTTTAAGGTAACAAAGCAGCAGTAATCAGCGCATAAACACAATATATAAACCCTTGACAAGTTCATGAAATAGGCCTCACTCGAGTAAAGATTGTCAGAATGTCTACTATCAAAATAAAGTGCTTTCCAAATAAACTATGTAGTGACATAATTATGCATTTAAATGTTTTAGTGCAACAAAATGAATGTAAACATATAATGCTCTGAACTATGTAGAATAGTGAATATGCTTCAAAGCATCAGTGAAAATCAGGTACAGCTACTGTAAGTGGAGAAAAATAGATGAAATTTGAAACAATGCATATGAATTATCTGAATATAACCCATATACTGTATAGAAACACAACACCACAAAAATATATTGAATATAACCAAACAGATATAATAACTATTTACACATACCTCTTAAAGAACAGATATTTGCAAAAGGTTTAGCAGATGAAATATTAGGGAAATGTTTGTGAGCTTGTGACTGTTATTGTGCTAAATATTGAGGGCCATATACATTCTCTGACATAGTCTAGTTTAGTGTAGTCTAGTACAGTGGTTCCCAACCCTGGTCCTGGAGGCACCCCCACACTGCACATTTTGCATGTCTCCTTAATCAAACACACCTGATTCAGGTCATCAGCTCATTAGTAGAGACTCCAAGACCTGGAATTTGTGTGTCTGAGAAAGGAGACATGCAAAATGTGCAGTGTTGGGGTGCCTCCAGGACCAGGGTTGGGAACCACTGGTCTAGTATATGGTACTGTACTGTGCTGAATTGGGTTGTTTCTGTGTGCAGAGTGGGAGTGGCGAGAAAAGGGAGGTTCGTCAGTTCCAGTTTACAGCATGGCCAGATCAGGGGGTACCTGAACACCCCACTCCCTTCCTGGCCTTCCTCAGACGGGTCAAAGCCTGCAACCCCCCAGACGCCGGACCCATTGTGGTCCACTGCAGGTAACTAGTACAGAATTGAGTTAACTCATTTATATCCAGTCAGACATAAAAGGGTAAGATTCTATAAAAAAACAAAAAAAACAAACTTGTTAACTCCTGTACCAATGAAATGTCACTTACTCTGTAGGGAGTATTGAATCATTGGCCTTAATTGTGTTAACTATGTAAAATTGGTGTTATATCACATAATTTTCTCCTAAAATGCTGCAGCTAAATTATTTGTCTCTGTCGATGCACTCAGTGCTTTTTGTGGAGTCTGGGTGTTTTTTGTGTTCTTTTTTTAATATTTTGCTTAGACACAACAAAGCAACATTACTATATGCATTGCAAATTTTTTTTATAAATGAACCGAGACAGGGAAAATGTTAAATTACATGAAATTACGTATGAGAATTAGGGTTGCAAAAAGGTGGAAAATGTCCAGTAAATTTCGGAAACATTCCAGAAATTTTGGAAAGTTTCCAGGATTTTTTTTATATATATATATTCCAGGGATTTTTGGAAAGTTTCCGGAAATTTACTGGAAATTTTCCACCCCTTTGCAACCCTAATGAGAATACAAAAGACATCCAGAAAAACATTAAATGCCTTAAAACTGTGAGAAGGCTCCCCTCAACTCTTTCCTGTTGTTTTCATTTGCTGCTTGTTAGCATTGCAAGAATTACATTGTTCTCTTTTTCTCATTTTAGTTGACTTTTTTCACATGGCCAATATAGGTTATTTGTAAGTTTTTCTATTAAATAAATCTAATTATCGGATATTTTTCATTTATAACAGTAGAGGGAAAAAATGCATGGAGAAAGGAGAAAAATAATAACGATAATACTCAAATAATGATTATATATATATATATATATATATATATATATATATATGATAAATAGGATTTA